CGCGCGTGTGACCCGCCTTGTTCTACCTGTCCCGCCATGAGAGGCTGAAAGATTCTTCCTGCTGTATGGGACAGAACTGCCCTATTCTTCCCCCCTCCTACCAGTGAGTACCGTGTGTCGGGTGGTACAAGCCGGTTAGCATGCCGCTCAGACGCGGAATCTACTGCAAATAAATCCAGATTGTTCAAACACAACGCCAAATACCTGCAGTTGGAGCAAAGGCCTGGTTGCGCAGAAATATTGGCGCCGAGGAGGGAGCGAGTTGGTGGAAAGAGGGGTGCGTGGCGGTGGGAAGTGCTCTTCTAACCAAATCCTCCAGAACATGGCGGAGCACCACACCGCCTCCGACTGTAAGCACAAAGCGAGCTCCCACGCCGGAGGTTCGGTTTCGGGCAACGGACGGCCCAACTCCCCGGCTGGATGCGGCGGCAGTGGCGGAGGCCTTTCCGGGGGACTGACGCAGCCGGCGGGATGGCAGTCTTTGCTGTCGTTCACCATTCTCTTTCTGGCCTGGTTGGCGGGGTTCAGCTCGCGACTTTTCGCAGTTATTCGCTTCGAGAGCATCATTCACGAGTTTGACCCATGGTGAGTATAAATGCGGGCAGGGGGTTTGTGGCGCATTTTTAATCTGACGTTCGGGGATGTAATGCACGATTAATCTCGCTGTGAATGAAAAGTCAGTGCGTGTTGCACAAAGCTGCTGCGATCCTCCATTCATCTCAGTGTAATTGTCTCAGGAAGCGTTTTGCCTCTGTGCAGTAACTTGCGTCCATGCTTGACAATTTTTACACGTAACCGCATGGCAGCTGCCCTCCATCTTTTTATAATTCCAGTAAACTAAATTGATTGTGATAGTGATGATGCTTGCGATATAGATGCTATTTTAATTTAGCACGACTGTTGATTACAATCTGTTGGGGTATAATTAATATTTACAGCAAGGTATCGTAAAACTCCAAATGAGGAAATGAACTATTGTATCTATTCATCTGCATTTATGGCAAGTGGTTTAGCATTTATTACTTAAAACGTCCTGCAATGTATTTGTTACTGTTGCTCATTGTTGATTACTAGTAAGTAATTCAATAGTGACTAAAAGCTAACTAACGTCATTAGTCCTAGTATTCAATTATTCATTACATACTGCATACTAGTTCCACTTACAGCCACTGTGATAGTGACAAATTATTAACTATTAATTGTAATGCACACAAGTGCTAGTGTCTTGTCAGTTAGTACTAGGAGAACAGGAACTAGCACCTGTTTTTGTAGTTAGAATTATGCAATGAGTAAGTACTTGTTTAATTTTAATAGTTCTCAAGAGCCAAAATCACTGACCATTTATTTAGTACTTTATTCTAGAGTAGAAATATGTAAATTTGTTCAGCTGAAATATGGAGAGGTAGCTCATTGCTGAAGAACTTTACTAGAGCCCGACCGTTATATCGTTTTGCCGATATTATCGACTGATATGAGCCTGTCGCCGATATATCGGTATCGGCGAATATGCCGCCGATATGAATTTTTTTTTACAGAACATAT